CAATCTTATCTTCTATATCTGAAATTCTGTCCTCACATTGGCTCATTCTGCTGTGTAGACTTTCAATGGTGTTTTTAATCTCCTGGAAATCTGTTTACATCTGTTTTATCAATTCCATTTGTTTCCTATGTTGGGATTTCATCATGTTCCTCAGCTCCTCTCTAGATTTATTAATCATATCTTGCACTATGAGTACAATCTCTGCTGTTATCTAAGAAATTATTTCTGATTTCATTTTTTCCAGGTCCTCTTTTGTTTCCAGTTCAGGGAGTGTAATTGGTTGAACAGAGTGTTCCATCTCATTTCCCTTTGAGGTTGCTATAGGTTATCTGGAAGTCTGGTTTTGAGACTTGTTTACATGTCTTCTCATTTCAATGGGGGGGGGCAACAGGTCTGTGTGCTCTTGTAGCCCATGCAGCTAGCAGTGTTATGGCGGTCTGGAAGCCTCCTCCTCTGCGCTCGGAGTGGTGCTGTGGCCTTTTTGTTGTTGTTGTTGTTGTTGTTGTTGTTGTTGTTGTTGTTACCAGCCATAAAACTTGGGACCTTGGACTTGCAAGGCATGCAATGGAATCACTGAGCTAGACCCCTGGCCTGTTCTGACTCTTTTCTATACCCTTATCCTTCTGTTTTGTTTAGCCTGTCCCATTGTACCTTGGGATTATGTAACTTGCTTTTGATATTTACAGAATTTCACAGCTCAGAGTTTGTCTTGAGTCTTAGAAGAGAGTTAGGCTTTTGAAAAAAAATACTGGAATTGTTAAGACTTTGGAGAAGGGATCAGTTGTATGTAAGATGGTTTTATTATGTTAGGAAGAATTATGATCTTATGTTTATTTGGGAATTAAGTATAGTTTAAGGATATATTTGCATGTCAAGTTGACAACCAGTAGCATGTTAAGGTTAAGCCTGATCGTGTCAACTTGATTGGCTTAGGAGCTACTCAGCAGATTGGTAGAACACACTTCTGGATATGTCATGGAAGGCTTACTTTGGGTGTTATATCTGGTCCCTCTCCCCTCCTCTTTGCTGTCCCTCTGCTCTGCTTCCAAGCTTCTATGAACTTAGCATCCTTGCTCTGTCATGCCCTTCCCCATGATGGTTGAGCCAGCTGGCCCTGGACTGAGAAACTCTGAAACCATGAGCCATGTCGGATATTGGGTCACAGAGCCAGAAAAGCTGACTAAGACATCATTTTAGCAACTTAAAAAACTTATCACAGTGTAAAAATGCATTATTCTTCATAAAGTATATATTTAACATTGAATAACACTTAAGCTTTCTTTGAGTGCAATTT